GGAAGTGGCTAAACATCTGTTTGCTGATGCGAAGTAGTGAATAAGTTCCTTATTTTGCTTTGCTTGTGCATGTGGTTTTACTCTGACTCACGATTTTCTTGCTGCTGGTGGATGATTTGCTGCTGGCTGGGGTCAACCCCCCACACCTAGCTATAAAACTTGCTTGCAGCCAAGATGCTCTTTTCATCAAGATGTTCTTCAGCAGCTTGCTCACATATTCCAGCACTGACAGCCACTACATCATCTCACTGAAAAGTGGAAAAAATGGCCCTTCATAAGTGAAAAGGCATTTCACTTATAAATGTTCTTCCATTCCCAAAGTGCTATGGTATGACTCAAACAAATGTGTGCCTTTTCAGTCGCTCTGTGATGCTCTTTCTAAATGCCATTGCAAAGACCTCGTGAGTTGCTACAGTTGTCTAGAATATCAGCAGAACCAAACCATAGATGAAAATGTGCACAAGAAAGGCAGAAAGGGACCAGACAAATGGGATTCAGTCCCAAGAGATGCCAAGTGCACAGCTGGTGTGACCTGGCATGGATGAGCTGCAGTGAGGAGACACTATTGACCTCAGACCTGTCCCCAGGATTCTAACTCTGGCATCCTGCTCAGCAAACTGTTCCTCCCAACTCAGTTATCTAACAGATGCTAATTCTCAGGATAAATTGGCAGCAGCATTAATTGCTGTGTCCTTTTTGTCTGGTATTATTTCTCTGCAATAAAATTACACACAGATTCAATGCGGGTCTGAAATCACAAGACAGCAGGTATGGAGCATCATGTGCTGAGGCTGGTTTGCTCTGGGCGTCCAAAGGAGCTGAAGGTTGTCTTGTGGCCTGTCAGAAGGACTAAGTTCTCTTCTGGGCTGTATTTTTGTGCTGGGTGGCTTTTTAGGGTGCTTCGGGATGACAGAGATCATCGATAAGCTAGACCTTACCTCACTGTGGAGTCATTCTTAGTCACTGGACAACTTCTGAGGAAAAAATAAAACTGGTGAATGCAAGGAGTAAACATGTCTATTTTTGTAGCTTGTCTTCCAAGTCAAACAAAAATAAGAGCTGACTTGAGGCTGGAGACTGCATGACACACTGTTAACTGAGAACTGGCAACACAGGGCTTGATCTTCTCTGCTGTAAGTCAGAATGGCATTTCTGGAGTCAGTGGAGTTCAAGTTCACGCCCTCCAAGCCATGCAACCTGTTTAAAAGTGAAGTGGGACAGTCAGGTGAGCCACGTGTGGTCAGTGTTTGGAGGAAAACCTGGAGTCGGCTGTGAATATTGTGGATAGCAGCTGAATCACCAACATCATCTGCGTCAGAATCGAGCTGGTGTCTCAGCATGAGCTGGCAGAGGTCTTGCCTTTCAGCCCAAGACCCTGGTGCATGCAGTCAAGTTGGGTTACTGGCACCTTGGGTAACTGCCCACCCGCGCTGGGCTGCACGAGCCTCCCCTGGACTTCAACGGGGAGCTCTTACCCACGACGTCCTTCCAGCGCTGCAGAGCTGCTTTGCTTCCTTTCCAAATGGGGAATTTCCAAATTGCCATATATAGAGAGTCCCTCCAAACAAAATCTTTTATGTAGAGCTGAAAAAAAAGGCTGTGTTCCCAAAAGCCTGTTTGTTCCAGCTGTGGTAATTTGTCTCAGAGAGGATATTGCATCTCTTCAGAAATTGTGTATTGTTTACATCCCCAGAATGTCACGGCAGCTGCTGCACGCCGCCAGAGCCTTCCCATGTGCAGAATGCTGAAGTGTGGTACTGCAGGTTTGCACAACGTACGTGTGTACGTGTCTGAGGCTCGGTAATATCACAATCAAAATACAGTAGATTGGTTGGTGGTGGGTTTTGTTTTTCTTTTTTATTTTTCTTTTTACATTTGTTAGCTGTTCCTGAGCTGTTCTGTAACTTGGCGTGGTAAGATGAAATATTCACTTATCCTGAGTGAATTTCAGTCAAGTCCACGACAAGTGGAGAACACGAGCTTAGCAGTGACAGGGAGCCGAGCCTAAGCTGAGATCTGCAGCCAGATTCTGATCCTGTTTAAACAGGAACAAATCCGGAGCGATACTGCTGGCTTCACAGTGCAGGATGCAGCTAGGAAAGAATCAGCATGTGCATGCACTAGTCTTACTGGAAACAGGATCTGTCAATTACAGTAAAGTTAAAAATAAGATGAAATTGTGTAAGATCTAATTATTTCCCAGGCTGTTTTTTCCTGCTTCCACCTATCCCAGCAGGACTTGCAGGGAGATAAAGGCTGAAATCTCTCCAGGCTGCAGGGTGTGAGACTGAATGGCATTTACATTGATAAACCAACAAAAAAGGGAATTATTCCAAGATGAGCAACCCTTCCGTGGAAAGACTTCCTTGGGAAGTGAGTAATGGAAGGAAATCATCTCCACATACCCACCAGCCCTAGTCAAGGGGGTCTGGACATGCAACTGTGAGCCCTGGGAACCAGACCCACGGCCGTTCTATCCCACCGTCTCTGCAGCGATTTTCTCCGAACAGGTCACTGGGCAATGGGGCAGGAGGAGGACAGGACAGGAGCGGATGGATGTCTGGGTTAGTTGATGAGAAGCAGATGGTTTGCAATGGGGCAATACTTGCTTCCTCCATCCCTTCCACATCCCAGATCTGGAATACAACCAGCGTGAGAAGAGCCAAGGAGGACGCTCACCAGCAGAGAATAAGGATGTGACTGAACAAGTACTTCGCTCAGCAGTGGTTTGGAAAGGCTTTTGCCTTCTTAGCTGCCACAACGGTCAATACATCAGCAGCTGAATTGAATGTGAATCTGTGCAACGAGAATCGATGAATTTGTTCAGATCGGTGAATTAGACCGTGGTGTGATTTTCCTTCCTATGTATTTTTTCCCTGGAAGCTTGCTTGCCAAATGAGACTAAAGACTGACAGCTTCACTGCTAGAGTACCCGTACTTCCTACCGACTTCAACATGAGCGCTGTTAAATAAGCACAACTCTGACATGGGGAGGCCCAAACCACGCTGGGTCAGAGGAAAAAGTCTGCTCTTGATTTCAAGAGGTGATGATCAAGCCCACAGTGCCTATGACCTGACACAACTCAGCAGCTAATATCCAGACTTATTTCAGTGGGCTGTAACATTAAGAAACCCTGGTTGTGTCAGGAAACCATCTAGCTGCAGTATTTGGTCACCATTACTATTGCACCAGGATCCAGATGCCATCTTTGAGGGGATCTCACAAGTTACGTGCTCTGGGTGTGAGAACAGGGGTATCTAATTCTCTTGGGTACCCAGGATAATGCTTATTCCAGCCTGTATGAATCGGTGGGCAAGGCTGTCACTCAAACAGGGTTACGCTGCGTGGGACTGAGGATTCATACAGCCTGATACTGCACAGCTCCTTCGTGATGCAGCTGGGTACCAAACTGGGGGCGGGGAGACGCACAGACAAGTGCCCAGGACGTTTACCTGGCTGACTGAATCCGGGCTTTCTCAATTGGATCTGACTTCCTGGGCCTGTTCTGACTTTGAGTTTGGACACAACCTGTTTTCCACCCTGCACAGCTCCTTGGCTCCTAACTCCTGCATACTTTTTTTACAGTGTCCAGGAGAGAGAAAATCAAATTGGAGGAAATACCGCTCACCAGTTTCAGGAAATCCCTCAGGCTTCTAAATGTTCCTCCTTTGCTACCCTTTACCCTGTCTTGTTGGTCACTCCCCATGTTAAGGGAGATGACAATCGATTGGTCTTTTCATAATTTGGTGTAACTTTCAAGCTTTTCTCCACTAGTAACATCTTGGATCTGTCCAGAAGTAGCACATGTTACAACCTAAAGTGAAAAAAGGGAAAGGGACTGTTGTCATCTCTACCTGATGAGCAGGACCCAAAAGCAGATAGATGGTCAGCAGGACAGCCATGAGAGACTGGGTTTGGTCTGGTTTTTTGAAACTCTCCTGCATACAGGGGAAATAGAGAAGCTGCACGCCAGCAAAGGCTGAACCCGGGTTCTTTGGTACGTGCTCTCTGCCAAACTCTTCTGCCCCTCCATCCAGTAAGATATTTGTCACGGGTTTATCTTCAGCTTGTGAGTCCCCTTTGACTCAGAAGTCACAGACTTGAGAATGTATTTAATGCCACACTGGACGGAGATAACCACTGGGCACGTAGCAGGCTGTTGCACGTACCAGCTGCACCAGAGAATATCGCTTCGTGCCCTCCTCTGCCCGGCTGACGCTCCGCACCTCGGCAGCGGTTGCTCGCCGCAGGCTCCGCGTCTCTTGCCGACTTCTTCTCCAGGGTGAAGCGGTGAGGCATCGCGTTTGTCCCCCTCGTGTCCGGCTCCGTGGGGCAGCACAGGGGCAGGGACACCGTTGGGTAGCGCTAGGACCTGGGGGAACGCTCAGCCTGCCTCCTCCCAGCAGATTAGCCAATATTCCCAGGGCAGGGCATGCTCCCCAGCCTTTCTACTTTTTCTTTCCTCTATATACGTGTTTTTCCTTCTTCTAGTTCATTCCAGAGCAGAGCAGTTTTGGATTTCTTTGAGCTTTTTTTTTCTTTTTTTTTTTTCCCCCCTCTCTGGTAGTTGGACTGCTGCCAGCGTCTTGCAGGGCCAAAGTTTTATCTATAGGGATATATTTTTCAAACCAGCCCAGCTGCGCGCAGGCTGCCTGCAATTGAATCCACACTCCCGGGGCAAGTTTAACTCTGGAGAGGAACAGCAGCAGGGGTGCTGTTTGTGCCTCTCCTCCAGCTATTCCTGTCAAGATGGATTTATGGCTTTAAAAGGAGTGAGGGGGGGGAAGGAAAATTGCCTACAGGAGCCAGAGCTTACACCACAGCCCAGCAAAACACACATAAAGAAGCAGTCGGATCTCAAGGCATGAGCAGCATAAAAGTGACGCTCTGGGATCTGGTGGATCCTTGCACGTAATATGACTGATCTTAAGCCTTTCATCTGCCTTCACAGAGCCGAGCTTTTGGATTTAAGGTAGTTTGCCCAGGACCAGACTTTGCTATGTTGGCCAAGACAGTGCTTTCTCTTGGTCTGTGGCTGCAGTTTGCTGTGGGACAGAACACACCTGAGAGAGGTGAGTGCCTGAAAAGGCGAGGCGTTCCCTTACTATTTTCTCCCATTTAATACCTCCTGGTCCTTAGAGCTTCTCATAAAACCCTTTTCAGAATAAAAGCTGAAGTTATATTGCTGCTTTAGGTGTACAGTTATACTTGTATGTTACTTTGCTGGCACAAGGACAAAAAAACCCAAACCCCATAAAGCTTTTTTTAAATTGCCATATTAGAAAGAAATTTTACCTTGCTTGTTTCCAGTAGCAGAAAGGAAACTGCTTCAGCAACTTGCGGAGTTTAATGCAATCATATGGTAAAAGTCCTGACTGTCACTGTTACCTATGTACTGAGGCACATCGGTTAAGGGAAGTAAAACCAGCGATGGGGTACTCTTTCTGTTCTGTTGTTCTCTTGCTAATCTCTGTAATTCAATTGCTGTATTTCCTTTTTAAGAGGCTTTTTCTCTGGGGTACCGTTCAGGGAAAATGGTTGTGGGTCAGTCTCGCAGAACTGACAGCAGGGAAAGGTACGCGGAGGAGATAAACGTCTCGTTTCTGGTTTCTGCGGTGCTGGGCAGCAGACTTAACCCACATCGTGATGGCTAAGCTGATGCAATGACTTTTGTTCTGCCTTGTGTTCACAAGCAGAAAAAGGTTCTGTTCTTTGACTGCAGGGCTACTGCTGGCTGCATCTGGTTTTCACTGCACCTGGGAAATGTGTGAAAGGAGAAGTGAACCTTTTGTCTCTCTGGACAGGAGGTCCTCCGACTCGGGCAGCAGCCCCGACTGCTGCAGTCTGATTCTGCTTCTGGCATGCAGACCGGACTGTGACTATTGCTCAGATCCCCTTACAGGGTACTGGATTCCGTCCCTCAGTGACACACGCCCTTTCAGAAACGGTGCTGCTGCATCTGTATTGTCATGCATTTCCGCTGCCATGGGACTGTACGTGGCGGTTCCCCAGCCCGGGCTAAAATCAATGCTCAGACCTTCAGAGCATGTGAAAAAGCAAGCCGTGGCTTTCTAGAAGGATTGCGCCTTGCTCCAGGGGCAAAGGTGTATGGGTTGTGTCATTGCCGTGCTTTGACTTGCACAACGGCAAGCGCCCTTAGAGGAAATGAACCTGCTGGTCGGCAAGGTGCCCGTTCCCCAGCAGCTTTGATGTGGGGGCCCCCTCGGCTCCTCCCAGGTGCTCCCTAAAGCAACCTTGAGCAAGCAGCCAGTCTGGCAGGGCTCCTGGACATGGGCTAGCTCTTGTCTGGAGCTGCTATGGTGGTGTGCCACGATGACACAATGAGAGGAACTGTCCGAGAGGTAGGGATGCAGGTTCATAACTCTGTTTCCTAGGGACTCGACTGAATGTGAATGATTGTGGCTTTTTTTCCTCACCTGCAGTGAGCAAAGTGAGGAAGCTACTGGATGGCCAGTGGAGTTTCTACGTGCTCAGGAATGATTAGCTTTTTCAGGGCAAGGGCTATTGACATACGGCACCAAGGCACAAAGTCAAGGCAGAGCATCGCATGATGTTCCCCCCCTTTCCTCTTTAGGTCCAGATTCAGATCTCTGCGTCAGTGTAAAGTACAACCATTTGATAGATTGCGCTTCGATAAATGAAACTTAGGTTGTCGTTACCTGGTTACTCTGGACTAGCATCAGCAGAAAATGATGGGGATGTTACTGTCCTTGTGGGTGCAGCAGGTGAGAAATAACGACGTGGCCCGTCCATAGGCACTTTGTAGAGGGCTCTGCACTTACTGATCTCTGAAACACAGCTCAGTGTCTGGCGTAATTCCATGATTTCAGGACTCCTGAGGCTCTAAGCAAAACAGCAGAGATAGTGAAACTCCTGAAAAGATCGTAAGAGATGGTAACCCAACTTCCTTCCCGCCAGAGGAATTTGTCTGAAGGGCCGTTTCTCAACCCACAGCCTGTAATTTGGGGCACGGACGAGCTGGAACCTGCACAGGCAGTTTGTGCTTTTAGTCACACAAGTGTATTTTGCTTGGTGGGGCTCAGCTCCTTAAATAGGCAGGTGATCTAGCCATCTCCCATGGTACAGGCCTCTCTTTGACATGGTTTTAAGGGTAAAACACCTCCTGGCTGGCTTGGTGGATACCTCTCTTTCTGGGAGAGGTGGTACCTTTCTCCTCCTGCCTCTCACTGTGATCCCAAGGGGCCCCAGGGAAGCAGAGGCTGCGTTCTTCAGCCTCCAAACCTGGCTCCACTCATAGTAGAACTTTTTTCCTTGCACGACCAGACCCTGAGAAGGGAAGACAAGCATGGAAGTTAAAACATAGTTAACTCAGACAGGACATGATCTTTTTTGGCCATTAAATCCTTTATGCTCTACAAGTTCCAAGTCCCATGTAAATCAGGCATGTGTTCAGGTCCCAGCTGAGAGTGCAGGGAACTCTTGAAGCGGATGTCTCCTGTCAGCATCTCAGTGTAAGACAGGAAAGTCTGACCAGCTGTTTTTCTCCTGGAAAAGCCAAGCATTTAAATATCAGCACTGTGACTCCACGGTGCCATTTTGCTCCCATATCGATCTCTTCAAAAACACTTCTTTGTGTTTTTGATGACTGATCTGTGTCTACTGGTATCAGCTGGAGCGTGACAACAGGCTACTGCCACGTGTTCGCCCTGCATCCCTAGACTGAAGTAGAGCACCGGAGCAGCAATGGCACGAGGTCTGCAGAGCTACTCCTCAGCTCTTCGGAAGCAAAGGCCTGACGGTTCAGGAGGCAGGGGGGTGCTAATGGACGTCCCTTCTCTGAGTACCACTGAAAGTGAGGAAATCTTTATTTGGCATCTTGCCAAACAGCCGATCGTCTTTTGCTGTAAAGCAAGGAAACTGCTTGAAAACAGCAGCCGCTTGCGTAACACGGGGATTTACTGCTAACGAATCTCCACAGCCCCACCTCTGGCACGGATGGCATGTTTATATTGGATGAGGGACAAAGAACAGGAAGAAAGATGAGGGAATTGAAAACCTAAACCTGAAGGGAAGGATGATGGAGTGTCCAGACAAGGGGGAATGGCCTTAAGCTGAAGGAGGGGAGATTTAGATGAGATATTAGGAAAAAATTCTTCCCTGTGAGGGTGCTGAGGCCCTGGCACAGGGTGCCCAGAGAAGCTGTGGCTGCCCCTGGCTCCCTGGCAGTGGTCAAGGCCAGGTTGGATGAGGCTTTGGGCAACCTGGGCTAGTGGAGGGTGTCCCTGCCCATGGCAGGGGTGGCACTGGATGGGCTTTGCGGTCCTTTCCAACCCAAACCAGTCTGGGATTCTATGAATTTGCTTCCATCTTATGCAGGGCTGAGTGTTAAGTAGAGGTAACTGTGATGGTATTTGCCTGTATGAAGGATTAACCTTCTGCTCCACCCACAGACAATCCCTTTAGCTCCAAAATATATACCTGCTCACCACTATAACTGTTGCTTTTGTTACCCAGTTGTTGTTAACCAATGGTTTCTGTCCTCCAGGCAGAACATAGCGGTGTCAAGCTGTAGCTCTTCCTGCAGAGCCTCCTAATTGACACAGCTATTTTCAGCAGCGTATGATGGGTCAAACCAATGCTTAAGGGATGTTAACATTATGCCCAACTCTCTTGGTGTGCCAGAGCTGTAGGGTATGGTCAAGAGTGCAATTCGACAGGGGCTTGGCTCGTCACTCCCCTTTGATGTTCTTCTCTTTCAAGCAGGTGTTCCATGCTGGTTTTCACCCATCTGCCCCCCCGTGCAGGTAGTTCTGGCAGTAGTGGGATTTTGCTTGCATCTGCTACCTTGTGGTGCATGCCGAATTCCCTTGGTAGAGTGCTAGTGCATGTGACCTTGTTTACCACTTGTAAGCAATGTCCTTTGGCCATTGATCCCTGCCCTACCAGGGTCAGAAACTTCCACAGCTGTTGTTGCAACATTCAGTAAATGAGTGACGCTACTCAAACTGGTGAGGAGCAGAGGGAAGAGAGAGAAACAATGAGTTCCCCTTGGGAGGAGGCAATCATGTTGCTGAGATCTCTCCCTGTGGCTTGCCAGCCAAGTAAGTGGCTTGTACTTCTTCCAGTGGAGGGGAAAGCACAGAGCTGCCACTACATGTGTTTGACTTGCTTCATGCAGCCAGCAGCTCTAAACGAAGTCCTCGTTGCTCTGCCCTGCTGGAGTGCCGTTAGGAGGTTGGGAGCTCTAGGAACCAGTGGCAGTGACCGGCAGGTCACAGGTTCAGCTCTACTGTGTGATGTGGTGATGAAATGGCACGTTGCTATGGGCATGCAGGAAAGCTTACTGGGCTTCACTTCCCCCCACCCCCCCTGCTCAGCTGAAAATGAAACTCTGAATGCCAAGTTTCGGGGGGTGGGGGTGGTGTCTGCACCACGGGACTGAGTCGTGCTGGGTCATGCAGAATGGGTTGTAACCACGTAGATTGCAGGTCTCACTCTTGCCTCCTCCTAGCATCTCTTCCTTAGTCACCTCCAAGTAATTTTGATGTTCTCCATTTCTGAAGGCTCCACCTGATTTCTCCTATTTTTTCATCATGGATCTGGTGTGCCTCTGCCCTCTCAGCCAGCGCCAACTACAGGAGAGTGGTTCTTGTGCTGCCTTGGTCTCTGTAGCAGCGCAGTGATCTGTGGGCAGCATATTTGCATGTTTACAGACCATGCGTGCATGCACTCTGGCTCTCTTCTGGTGCACACCTATACTGTAACACACGCAGTAAGTGTGGTCCTGACTCAGACATGTCACTTCTGTCCCCCATCCTGTGGGCATTCCCAGCACACCTGGCCCTTTCTCCAACGTACCTCCCCTGATGTTCCTGAGCACACAGATGTGAACACTCCTGCCGCGGGACAGACCCAGGCGCTCATGCCCTAGTTGCACAGGCAGGCATCCGAACAGTACCCAGTGAGGGAAATAAATAGCCGGGTAAAATCTGTTCAAATGAAGACTGGGCAGAGAGGATCAAGTCCCCTGTGGCTCAAGCCTGAACCACTTCTCCACCTTCTGTTTTCCTCCTTGAGCCCCTTGCGTTGTACCCTGAATGGCTGTGCTCTTGCTAGTTCATGATCTCTTCTGTGCTCAGGCCATCAGGTTTCACTGGCAGGACATGTAATAGACCCCTTGTACCCACTCACTGTTCCCCTGCCCTGCTCCTTTCCCTCCTCTTGATTTTGCCATCTCATATCTGCCTGTTGGAGTAGTGCCCCAGTGGGAGCTTAGCAACCCCCTGCTCGTCTCTGCAAGGCTCGTTGCTGTTTCTGGGCCTGCCTTGACATGGCTTTCTGCAGGGGGAAAACTGTTTGCATGAGTTGTCTCCTTGGAGCAATTAATTTTACAGAAGCCTTTCCATTCAGCTGTCTACTGCCTTGTGGTTTTGGCTCCCACACATGGCTCCAGCACTCAGTCACTGTGTGCTGCGCCGAGTCCATCTGTGCTCCAGAGCCCACACTGCTTGGGGACCCCATGTTCCTGATCCCTTCATTGATAGAGGAGCCCAAATGGGCAGGCAGGAATGTCTGGTCGCCCTTCTTGCACTTCAAAAGCTGTCAGAAAGCAGGGTGGTGGTTAAAAGAATTCCAAATTCATTATTGGTATTCCAGCTATTGTAAATCTCCAAAGCTCCAAGAGTGGTAGAAGGAGGGTTCCTTATGTGTTTGTGCTTCCCACACAGTGATTTAGTTGAAATTGTAAGAAAATGGGTCAAATGGATGGGGACTCCAGGCCACACCCTCAGAAGTGTGTTCTTCCTGATGCACAGTGTTCTTCTGCACAAATGGGTCTGTGCAGCCCTTTCCCAGACATCTTGTTCCAGAGAGGTGCTGCTCCTGAGACTGTCTGGGAAAGGAGGTCAGTATGTATTCAGAAGAGCAAGAGAACATCAAATTAGGCTAGCTTTTAAAAAGTGATCTAGGGAGGAGTCCCTCCATTCCAGACTTTCCTGCCAACGGTCGTATAAATCAGGGAGCTTTCTGCCAGTCTTGTGTGGACCGTAGCCTTTGAACCAAGAGGCAGCCAGTTCTGAGAAACAGCCACCTCTCCTGGGAGAGCAGACACAGCAGTTTTTCTCATCAAGTTTCTTTATCATTTCTTTCTTTTCCAAATACAGATCATTTTTCTTCCAGGCACTGCCATTGTCATAAGATGGGATCAACCTGTAAGTTATCCCAGGTTATCAAAAGTTGTTCTTGACCTTGGCAGTTGCCCTCTTTCTTGGAATCAGCAGTTTGCTGCTTTCTCTGGGACTGCTGCGCGTTAGCCCAGAGCAGCAGCTCTGGATGGCAGAGGCTACTCCCTGGCACGGGGCACGACTGACCTGCTGGCTCAGGCTGGTGAGGAATGTTCCCAGCTCCTGGAACGTGTCCACCTCTAGCTTGGAGCAGAAAGTGCTCAGGATCAGCCTGGTGTTGTGTAATAAGAGGTGTCAGAGCAAGATGATGTAGCTCAGAGGCATTTTTTTCTGCAGCAGAGAGAGCAGCATCCAGGACTTGTGGGTTGTACTTTTGCCTCTACCCTGATACCTGTGCCAAAGCTCCTGCCTCTTTCTGCTGCCCTGGACTTTCAGTTTATCTGTAATGGCTTAATAACATGTGCCTGGAAAGACTGTAATGAGGTTTTGTAAGTCTGTGTAGTGCTTGCAGATCCTGTGTAGCGTAGTGTGGAAGTGCTAGGTGTGCTCAGGAGCCAGAGCTCCCATGGCTCCTGCGGTGCCAGGTCCGGGGCATCTCTTCTACCCTGCCTGTGTTGGCTCCCTGATCTGTTCCAGCCCCCTGTCCTTGTGCAGGACTTAAGAATGAGGAGGTGTGATTAGTATCCCGGGAAATTACTTCCCTTTGCTGCTGCAATGACATTTTCTGTTCCCATCTGTTCTGTATCTTGGCTGAATTTGGACGAGAGGAGTATCAGGCATTCATCCTGCCCTCATTCCATGAGGAGCTGTATTTTCTCGGGAGTCAGGCACTAGGCTGAATTCAGGCATATTTCATCACAGTTTTTCAGTATTTTGGCCTGTCTCTCCTCTCCCATGACTGGCCTTTTTCCTCTGAGAGACACGAGGTCTGTTCTGGCCATCCGAGGAGCTCCTTGAACAGTAGGGATCGTGCATGTGAATGGAAAGGAGGAAAAGTAACTATTGTTCCTCCTCACTGTCGTTTTTATCTTTGCAAATGGGTAAAACGTGACTTTAAAACAGATTTGGCAACGAAGCCTGGAGAGCAGGTAGCCAATGAGGGCAGCGGGAGCTCCTCTCCTTGCTCCTGGAGAGCTCACCAAAGCAGCTAGGTGAGATGCATCTGTTGAATGATGATTGATCTAGGTGAGGTGCAGAACATGTAAAAGGAGGGAGCTCCAAAAGGCCAAACTGGTCTGCAGCGTTGGCCTTTGCCAAGAGCCAGAGGGCAAGCTGCACGCAGCAGGGCTGAGATGCGCTGACTCTGTTTACTGTGAGTCTCTGTTGTCGTCTCAGCCGACCGAAGTACGTGGAGTATGGCAGCTGCAACGCTTGGGTGCTCGGATATTGTGCCATTGTTCACAGCGATGGACCAAGCATGCCACCGGTGCTCAGGGTGGCTGCTGCTGCTGTGTCACTGAGATGCTCCAACTGTTCCTTTGCACGTCTCTTACTCTCTTGGCCAGTGTGAAACCCTGTGGGGTAGGTGGTGTGTTTGAAGTGTGCTGCTGCGAGGGTCCTGTCACCGGGCAGATCCGCACTAGGCTGCTGTCCTGCAGTGCCTCCAAGAGCTCTTTCCAGCGCTGCTGCCGTGCTTTGGCCTCTCTCCTTACAGTGACCCTCCCGGGCAGGACCTAGATCAGGCTGAGCAGCTGTGACATCCCAAAGTGAGACTGAACCCCAAGAAAGCAGTGGGAGACAAGTAGTCTGACACAGGTCACAATCCTGCTATTCAGCTGGGTCTCTACCCAGCAAAATTCTCACTGAATTCAGAGATTTGGCACAAGATAACCAAGCTTTCCTAGCAGATGCCTGTGCAGGGATGGGTTCATACCATTTCACTAACGCAGCTCCCTCTCTCTTCCCCTGCTAGGTCCCCAGCTGCCTGTTTCCAATTCGGAGGGAGACCTCCTCTTCTTGCTGGACAGCTCTGGCAGCGTCTCCTACTATGAGTTTTCCAGGGTCAAGGAATTCATGTGGGACCTCGTGCAACCTTTCACCTTTGGCCCCAAAGATGTCCAGACCAGCATCATCCACATCAGCACTACACCCACCATGGAGTTCCCTTTTGACCGGTACCTGTCTAGTGGGACTCTGCAACAAGCCATCCGGGACACTCAGCAGCTCATGGGCGACACCAACACAGGCAAAGCACTTTCCTATGCCAAGGAGAAGTTCTTCAGTGATGAAGCTGGTGCCCGGCCAGATGTGCCCAAGGTGCTGGTTTGGGTGACAGATGGTTTCTCCACTGATGACATCTCTGAACCCATGCAGCTCCTGAAGGACATGGGAGTAACAGTCTTCATTGTCAGCACTGGACGGGGGAATTACCTGGAACTCTCTGCTGCTGCCAGCCAGCCTCCTGAGAAGCACCTGCACTTTGTGGATGTTGATGACCTACCCATCATCACAAAGGAGCTTCGAGACGCTATCCTAGGTACAGTGGGGCTGGGTTGTGGTCACTGGGAGTTTGCAACGGGGCTGAATATGAGTTAGAGCCTTTCTCTGCAGGGCAGGTAGTGTGAGAATCCCCTGAACCCAACGGTTCTTCTGACCCACAGCGCCTGCCCTTGCAAACTGAGGTGCTTTGTCCTCAATGCTTTAGGTCCGAGTATAATCCAAGGCTTTTAGAAAGTCTGAGACAAATATCTCTACTCCCCTTGGGAGGTCCCATGACTGACTGGGACAAATTCCCTTCTGCAAACTTATTAGTGAGCTGAACTTGTGTTTGTAATGAGTTGTTCCCTTGTTAATGCAGGAAGGAGGCTCAGGCAGCATATTATCTGGATTACTTAAAAACCCACAAGACTCTGAAATGAATCACGCAGGTCACAGACATCCATACAACTCAAGTGTGGCATGAAAAAGCTCCCACCTGCACAGGTTAATTGTTAACCAAAGGCTTCCCAAACAGGCAGTGATTTAACTACAGTAGGAGGCTGCTGACTGGCAGCAAGGTACCTAAGCCCCTTGAATTTGATTTTCACATTCAGGGTGATTTTTTTTTTTCCCCCCTCTAAAATGCTGTCTGACTACGTGCCAGCTGATGGAGGCGGAGGACACAAATGCGTTGAGCACGCTGAATACACAAAATGGGATGTGTATGCCTGGGAAGGGTTTGGTCATGTCAGCTCCCTCAAACTCTTCTCTAGAGCAGATCTGACGTCCTATACACCATCGTGTGCAGGCACAGTGGCTGGCACACACCGAGATATCTAACTCGTGCCTACAAGTGGCTGGCAGTTGTTGTTCAATTACCAAGAGCAATTAAGGATGGTGGTTGCTGTCAGCATTAAGACTGTAGGAGAGGAATGTTTTTATTCCATAAATCCCCTGTTGTAACGTGTTCTGCATCCACCAGATCTATAGCCCGACTTGGCTAGCACAGCCCTTGGAAGAAAATCCCAGCCCTAACTTGTTAGGCTTAGCAGGCCAACTGCTACCTCTTTGTTGCTAGCGTGGTTGTGGCGGTTGCTGTGCAGAGAGCAGGAACAGACAGCAGATTTGATTTTTCAGCAGTCCTGTTTTTTAAAGCATCCAGGAAAGGGTCTGAGGAGACCCAAAGCCATAATCTGGGCCAGGAGACAGGCATTTGGAAGCCAAGAGGAATGTCTCATGCTAATCTGCATGCTGCACTGCACAATGCATGTTCTTTTTGTAGCTCTTGAATATTCGCCATCACGGTGGGAGTGCCTGTGATTGCAAGGCAGGGGTTTTGCTTCAGCCTCCCAGATGCCTCTGGATTTGTTTGGAAAGCTGAGCGAGTTACTATGACTTTGCAGACTTTCCATTAATTTTCTAGAGGTTCTCTCTCCATTGGAAATGCTGTTTTAATTCCTCATTTGGCTTCTGCTATGGTTAGAGCTGGCTTTGGAGTCTCCAAGTAACCCTTTCCACAGAATTGGCGGTATGTAGCAATTTCTTCCTATTTCCAACTATGGTCATTTAACAAATCACACAGAGGGACTATGTTCTCCTTCAGTCATCCACCTCTCTCCTGTACAAGTATGGAGCCGTACCAGGAGTCCTTCTACTGTACCAGATGCCACCCAGACCCCCAGATATTTCGTTTCAAGTGGCTGTTTCAGCTTCTAGTGCATCCTGAATCCAGATGGTATAAAATAGCATCCCAAAATGAGAAATCACCTGCATATCCTTGCAGCACAAGATTGTCTTGAAGGTCATAAGGTCTGCAAAGGGTAATAAATACTCCACTGTGCCTAAGTGCAGCATTCTGCACCCACCAGGTCTAAAAGTTACTAGTCTGGAATTTTAATGGAAGGTGAGATTCCCACATGAATGCAAGGGCTGGTGTTTTAAGCAAAATACCAGACATTGGTAACATCACCAGAGTTAGCCTTAATAAAGCCACGTATGTCCACTCTTACCTGCCTGGAGGAGGCAGCCCTCATCACCACCCCTCCTGCTTCTGGCCCCTGGAACAGCAGGGACAGGCAGGATCCTTGGCAGGCAGAAATTACGCCTTTCCAACTCTGGAATGGCCCAGGCTGGTTTCATTATCACTGCTATCTTACCTTCATCTCTTGCTACTGTTTTTTAAAAGCCTTTTGTAGGTGCACAAACAAGCTTTGTCAAGAGTTGCTCACCTCCCTCCACCTCCTATCCAGGAGTGGGGTGTTTCATGCCTGCTCCACAGATACTCCGACACAATGGTCCCTGGGTACCAAGTTGCTGTTGTCTCAGGTAGGCTGAGAACCCTCCATGGACAAGTTCAATCTCTGCAGCTGTACCTCACTGTACGAAGGTAGACACCTTTACGTGGGGGTTGCTCAGTTAAGAAGCATTTTCTTTGCCTTCAGAAATTTGATCAGAGATCTGAGCAGACAAATAATATAACAAACTGTTAGGGCTGAGCCTGGAGTTCACAACAACTTGGTTTTCAGTCCAAGACGCCACTACTTGGACAGGGAGACAAAAGGAAGGTGCCTTACTCTTCCGAACTGTATTTCTGTCCTGCTACAGGCTCTGTTGAGGCCAAGGGATGTGATGCCTCTGCCTCAGTGCCCTTTTTGAGAAGCCTGGCTGTGTCACAGAGCAGAGAAGATGAGCTGCTGCTTAGACACGGTGGACCTGAAATAGTTCCCAGTAATGCTGCTATGCAGAAGGGTGTGAGACAGGGACCGTGGATGGATGCGTACGTGCGCTCCCCCTCTTTTTCCTCGGCACATGGTCCTGACAAAATGAGTCCGCAGAATGCAGCAGGCTACAGTTCCCATCCAGCCAGGCTATGGCCACGGCCACAGCTGGCTCGTGGCAAATACCTCTGCCTTTCCTGGTGTGAAGGAGAGAGGACTCTAGCTCAGGCTTCTTCCATTGCATCTTATATATAATGTGCCCATATATGGCATTTGGTGCTCTCTTTCTGGGGAAGGACCTTCAAATACTGTGAAACCAAGGCATTCCTTTGAGATGACATCACTTGCTCTTTACTCAGACGGTTGAACTGACAACCGCTGACTTGTTTCATCCTTCGGCACCATCTTCTGAGCCAAGTTCTGCAGGAGCCCACCTGCCCAGCAGTCACAAAACATCAGCCACTTCCCGTGCACATGCAGGGCAACACATTTCTGATCTGAAACAAGGTTCTGGATGACTTCAGCTGCAGCGAAAGGTTTGAGCTTAGAGTCCTCTGACATTCTCATTTAGCACTGGATGTAACTGGGCGACCACGGGGAGTGATTTCAGACCTTGCACGTCCACCCTGGTAACGGTGAAGTGTGATGCCCCCTCCTAGAGTCAGAACCCTCCTCCCATCCACATCAATGTAGGGACATAGAGCCACAAAGCAGAAGCGATTTGTTCCAAGTCCTAGCTGAAGCTTCTGCAGAGAGGGGATCGTGTACCCAGGGCTAGAACAGGTTCTGCTGCTGCCTGACTGCGTTTCTGAAACACATCATGAGTAGCAGCATTCCTCCGAGTCTAATCGTGACCTCGCCAGTGTTCACGGGGTGCCAGCAAACTTGTGACTGTGAAACGGTGTTTCAAGTCACCAGGAGGTGGAAGGCAAGCGTGTCACAAGCGGTGTCTGTTGCTAGGAAGGCACTGCCTTGGTTTAATACAAGAGATTAACACGTTGCTTCCCTCTGGGAACAAGGAGGGGCTGTGAGGCTTACCATGGGCATCTGTTTTCTGGGGTTTATTGCCTTCTTTACGTGCTCAAGGCATCTGTAATCTGGCAACGAGGGGCAGAGCCATTTTCTGTGGGCTTCCTGCAGCGTGTCCCTCAGGTGTTGCACCCTTTAATCTGCCCGTTTTAACTCATCGTCCCTGGGCCCTGCCTCCATCCTCACTTATTTCCATTCCCAGAGCTTTTGGCAGGGCTTTTGGCACCGAAGCCTTTCCTCTGTTCCTTTGTGGCTTGGCCACTGGTGTTTGTGGGGCTCACAGAAGGGTGCAGTGCCCCGGGCCCCGTCACGCTGCCTCCCACCCTCCGCCTCCTCCAAACTCCGACGGGGTGGAGTGCGGCAGGCTGGCAGCGTGCGGGGATGGGAGCAGGCAGGGCACGGGGAAGGGAAATGTTCCTGCCTGCCTGGGAGAGCCAAAGAACAGCTCAGAGGAAAAACTGAGGCTGCTTTATTTGGTACGGGGAAGGTTGGCAGGGACTGGGAGCCGCTCGGAGGGGAAGAGCTAATATCCCAGTTAGAGGGCGGGCTGGAGAGTGCAAGGTTACCCCCGGCTCTCTTGCAGCTCTGGGCAGACTTTTGTGCCTCCCGTTACCTGTGCGCAGTGGGCAGCCAGTGCTAGTTACGGTACCCTGGGAAGTATTGAAGCTAGAGCTGGAGGGTACTATCATAAGGTTTCAGGAGTGACACCGTGCAGAGCAAATGCACTGCTTTAAGATTCAGGGTGCTTTTAAAAATACTTTTCTTTTAAAAAAAAGCATCCTTATGTCTTTGTATGCCACTTCCAAGGAGCTAGAAACAAAGTCTTCTGTGTTTCTGCCCCTCTGGAAGATCAGAGAATAGTGGAATTCTGCCCAAGATGGGCTCAGGAGACCACGCATGTTGGAAGGGTCAAGTAGCAGAGGAAGCTGGAGGAGCTGCAGAACGTCAGAAGAGGTATTCGTGTCTGGCATTTGGGGTCTAGAATTCAAAGGTAGCACAAGCCTTGAAGAGAAGCCTCTGTGCAGGGGGAGAGAGAGGCGAGATAGCACAAGAGTGGCTCTGAATGTTGAATGTCACAAAACAATGGAGCTCTGTGAAACACTGCAGGGAGTGACTTCAGCTGCGATGAATGCGGCCGGCTCAGCAAATGCTGGACAGTCCCCAGTTGCTGCCCCTTCTTCCTGGCCACTGGGTACAGGCAGAGAGCAGGGAGAAATGTATTTCCTCACACTCTGGGCTGCTTCATATACGTGACAAAATTCAGTGGTTTGGTTTCACTAGGAGGTGATTTCCACAGGGAGCTCTGGAGGAGCTGACCGCAAGAGTTTCAGAACCTGGATGCCCAAATTCTGTCACAGGCAGTGCCAGTGCTGCTTGCCACGTTGCGTATGTGGTACCGCCTTGCTGAGCGTGGGAATCTGCCTGTTTGGCCAGGCACAGTAACTACCGCACATCTGTTGGGCACTAGCAGCTGCCCAGAACTTGCTGGACTTCTCCAGATTAATTCTTGCTGGCACAAGGCAGGCTTAGGCGGGCAGGGGCACGGTTCCTGCTGTGCCAGGCGTCTCTCTCACAGCAGATCACCAGCATCGTTTGGCCTTAGCGCAGAGGACAAGGCAGAGAGAATGGGGAGGGAAAGCTGGGGCTTTGTAGATGAACCTGGAGGCTTGTGGCAAACCGTTTTGAGGCTGGACGTGCCTAGGAGGCAGGGTGCAGTAGTGTTCTTGAGCGGAAGCCTGCTGTGCACAGACATACCTGAGCAATTGCTTTAGCCAAAATGCCACCTCATGGCGGTTGGAGACATAGGCATTTCCTCTGCAAGTTCTGTTCAGCGAGAGGGTCTTCTCCAAGAGGTGGGAGTGGTGTGAAAACCCCAACATTGCTGCTTCAGTTGAAACGTGGTTTACATTTTTTTAGCTTTATGTTTGGCTTCAAGGATTTAGTTTTGTGCTCCTCAACCTTTCAAAGTAGGTCTGGTTCACAGAACTGCCATGAAGGGGCACAGCTGCACCCAGATGATTTCAGCTGTCATCCAGTGTTGCTGTAGGCTACATCTCCCATCCAGAAGGGCCTGTATTTCAGATGTGCCACCACGTTCTGTGTATTAATGTCAGTAGAGATTTCTTGCTACTGTTTCTCTTCCAGATGTTATCCAAGCAAATCGCCTCCATGCGGTGGATATCACCTCAAGCAGCTTCCGTCTGATGTGGCCCAAGCTCCTCTCCCAAGAAACTGGCTACTACACGCTAGAGTATGCCCCAACAGATGATCTAGCAAGGAAGAGGACAAAGCAAGTGTCTGGGGCTCACACTAGCATCATGCTAAGCAACCTTGCACCAGAAACTACTTATGAGGTGGCACTCATTCCTGAATCCAACGTCCACTACTTCCCTCCGCAGACAACAAGGGTTACTACACTGGCAGGTAAAATATGCACAATCGTGACCAAGGGGGAATTCTCCACTGTGCTGAGCCTCACATATATAAAACAACCAGGCCAGCCCTTGGTCTGCATCCCGCAGCCTCACGGTCTGATCGGAGGAGGCAGATGGTTATGGTCAGGACAGAACATAATGAGGTGATGGCTTCTTTACGCTGGCACCTCCTTCCTTACAGAAGTTCTGGACTACCTGGAACAGGGGATCAGGTCTGATGGTCATAACATTCCCTTCCAACATTAAAAATCTATGAATCTGGAGGAAAGCAGAGCCCACTGCCCTGGGAGAGGACAGGAGCTGCAGCTTGCAAGTATTTAACAGGGCTGAGATGTAGAGCCCATGGGGGATAAAGCACAGGCTGCTGCACATACTTACTCACTATCCTAGTATGATGGTCAGGCAGAAGCAGCACTGCCTTGTGTGGGTTACTGCAGCTTGAGCAGCAGTTATAGGAAGCCGGAGATCCCTGTCTCTCCTACCTGAGGCTGCAGGTGCAGCTAGGGGAGAGTAATGCTCGTGAAGTAGGCACATGCTGCTTCTCCGGGCAGGTGCATCCACTGCTGGGGAATCCCTGTGTAAGAGGGAAGGAGCGGAGGAGCACTCAGAGCAGAAGCCAGCCCCTCTCCGCAGACTAGTCATTTGGGCCAGAAAAATAACTCAGATTTACGCTGGATAGCAACATGCAAAAAAGTCACACACTGAAAATCTGAGCAGGGGTGATAAAGACGAGATGAACTTGCATCTAATATTAACTTACTGCATGCAGGAACAGTTTTGGCTGAGTAGTTTTGCCCACTTTATGCTGCACAGGTAGAGGAACCATTTTCTTAGGGCTGAGCTGGGTTGTGCTGACTTGGATGACTATCAACATCCACTTGCTGGATGGATTTTCTTCCACCCCCTGGAACCCAAATAAGGTGCAGGTCAATTATGCTCCTCTGACAGCATTATTATGCCTTGAATTACATACTCATTCACCTCTTTTTACATTGCTTTCAGAGGAAATAAGCCCAGCCCAGGTTCTCATCTCAGAGTCTGGGCCACACAGCTTCCACGTTAGTTGGGCTCCTACACTGGACAGCGTGATCGGCTATCAGATCCTGTACGGACCGCTCCCTGGGAACTCAGCGAAGCTGCTGGAGGTGGATGGCAAGCATAACAGCACTGTGGTGGAGAATCTGACACCCAATACGACCTATCTAGTGACAGTGACTGCAACCTACAAATCGGGAAAGGAGAGATCCCTGTCAGCTAAAGCGTGCACTCAGGAAGGTGAGCGAGCAGCACGCTGCTGATAGGAAACAGCATGGGCACAAGGCGTCTCTGAAGTGTGCCTGTTTCCTCGCACAGATCATCTGCCCCTAGGTGAAGCCAGAGAACTCAGCCCGGTTACTGGGGAGGGATGAGAGGAGGGGAGAGCCGCAGCTTGTGATGAACAGCACAGGATATGGCATTAGCATGTAGCAGATGTATAAGGCACAGGGCTGGAAGAAAATCAGACAAGCACAATATGACTGCTATTCCAGGGTGTGTACTGCCAAGCTGCTAGTGTAGTCACAAGCAGAGCAGGCTTGGAGATCCCTGAATCTCCCTAAAGAAAAAGAAAACCTCCTTTCCTTCCCATGTCCTCAGTGTCTGTGCTTTGGTGTGATTTAACATCAGCGGGGTGGCAATTTCATCAGCAGAAGCTTCTGCTCTGACGAGGTACCTGTGAAGATAATGCAGGAGGCAAAAATCTAGCTCTTACCAGGACTCAGGAATGAGGAGCTGAGAGAACGACAGCAGCTGAGGGTATGGGAGGTGGCCAGCCAGCGCCTAACAGTGCCAACAAAAGTATTTTGTGCTGGTACCAAGTTAAGGACTGATTAGGCTGAGCTCCTCCAGTGCAGAGAGGTAGAGATGGGCTGTTGCATCTCTGCAACAGAAAAAGACCAGGCTGGGTGGCTGGCAACCCCTTCTCAGCAATCCCCTCAGGAGGAACAGAGAGCTAGGCGGTAAGGACCACTCCATACAAATGGCCCACAGTAACGTGACTCTTCTTTCTCCAGAGGGCTCCAAAGTGAGGCACCTTCGCTTTGAGGACATGGGCCCCAACACCCTGAAAGCCTCCTGGGATGCCGCCGATGGGAAAGTCCTCGGTTACAGAGTCAGATGCCGGCGGCAAACTGGCCCTTCATCTGTCATCAGCGTTTCGCCGCAGATCCACAGCGTGCTCCTCACAGACCTGGCTTCAGGCACCACTAACAAAGTCTGTGTGAAGCCCATGTACAAGAACCAGCCAGGCAAAAGGCTATGCCGCATGGTGCACATGCAGCCAGGTGAGCTGGGGTGCAAGGCAGAATCCTGGGGCATTTTAGCCAAGGGAAAGTGTCCTGAAGGGCACTGAGGTGCTGGAGATCCAACACGGAGGAGCCCTCATGGCTGAAATACTCTGTGCTCATCAGCTACCTTGCCAACAGGGCTTCATCACAGCTACCAGCCCACAAGGTACTGTCCGAAGATGGGCTCTTCCCCTCATTTTTAAGAACAGTACTCCTCCTAGTGGCATTATGTTTGCAGGCAGGAGAAAACGTGTACAGTGGAGACTGCTGCAACTACTTTGGGATAACAAGGGCGGGAAGACTGCTAAAAGCTGGCATGGGCATTGGAAGTGCTGTTTAAAAGTCATTTGGACTCTTGGCTACCCTTCGCTTTTCAACGTGGCAGGGACAAGCTAACTATTAAACACAGCTACTGAGGCACAACACATCTGTTTTCCTCCTTCCGCTACCCAGAAGCCACTTACTGTCATGAAACACAAAGGGATTTTTAGGCTGAAGTGAAGTAAGAGCTAAAAAGCTGTGTGACAGTGCAGCAGCACAGCCTTTTTCCCAGCAAGAGGCTGGGGTGATAGTGAAGATGACCACAGGGATGAGATCTCGGACTCAGTCTGAGTTGGAGAATGGGTGGATAAAGCTGACATTATACTTTTTGTGTTTTTCCCAGCTACAGAAGCCCAAGAATATAAGCACAGACAGAGAGCATGACAGACTCTGGAGTGAAGTGATTCCCCGCAGAGCAAGGAATCTTGCTTGGACAAAGACTTCGGCAAAAAGGAGGGGTCAGGGGAAGAAACCAGAAAGCTCACAGATCATCTCCCAGCCTGCGCTGTCTGTTGAGGTGTCCTGGTTGTTAAGCCTAAAAGTTGTCCTCAGCTAAGTTCTCCTGAAGCTTAAAGGTTTGGCTTGGCTGGGTGGAACAACCAATCTGACCAATAGATCCCAAATCTGTACCCTCTTTTATATAAATAGGCCTGACAAATAACAAACAATGGGCAAAGTGATGAATCCTCACTATTGCTTGCTTACTGCCTGTTCTCTATTTATTAAATGTTGATACAGTTTTATTTTTGCAGCTTATGAGCATGTTCAAGACTCAGCTGTTTACTGCACTGGCCTTTCATTGTAGGCACCTGCACTCAGAGAAGGATTACACGTGGCCAAATCCGTTCTTGTTGTCAACGGCCATTGAAACTGATACACTTGACAAAGAGCAGCTTTCCTCCAACTCATCCAGTCTACTTGACAGGTAGCTCAAATTAGGCATCCCAAAAGATTAGCATGGAAGGATGGATGGAAGGAAAAGCATTAGGAGAAAGAAGAATAACATAATACAAAAGTGTACAGTATGCAGAGGAGATTGGGTCAAAGCCACCAGGATTTCTAGGAGGAAGAAAAGAGGTTGTTAACCCACCTGGCCTTTGGTCAGGACATGGACACACTTTATAAAAGACATCCTGCCTTTTATAAAGTGCACGGACAGTTTAGTGTTCCCAGGTGGTCTTTGGTTTATGGCAGAGCTTGGTCGGTGAACTCTGAGAAACGGAACGATAGGGCGATGCCATGCCAGGGCTGATGAGTGCTGTCAGAGTGCTCTAGCAGAAAAGTTTGCTCACTGTCTGCCTGCTGAATTCTTGAGTCTCATCAACACTGTTCCACTCTCCCTCTGGCACTGGTGTTAAACCCATCTGCTGCAATGACATACAAATCCCAGCTGGACTTTGAAGAGTTCAGTTCCCCCAAGTCATTTGCCTTGGGTATCAATCTGAAAGAGCAGGAAACTCAAAAATTTGGGAATTTCCTTCCCCACCAGGTTACTCTAGAGCTCTCAGCCCTGAGCTGAGCTCAAGGAGCAGCAGTGAGTCAAGAAAAGCCAGAGAGCAAGACCATCTAAAGCAGTTATTTTTGTTTCTCATTCAAATACACGCCATCAGCTTCACCAAATTGGATGTGAGTCTTGCTGTCGGAGTAGCTGTATGGAGATTAATTAGCCTGTTCTGTGACTAATTATGGACAATGTTTCCAGCACTATCATTCCAGGCTTTATCCTCTGCACTCCGAAAACACCTAGCACATCTTTACTGTCTTATCCTGGGCTTCCACCCAGCACTAAGCTTGAGCTACGCTTAAAAATCAGGTTTTTAGGGCAGAGGAGTAAATCTGGCTTGAATTTGCTGTCACTAAGCTACTCTTTTGAAATGGGAGATGAAAAAAAATTTACAATTTTAATACCTAGTGACAAAGTCATTGGAGCAGCATGGTTCAAAAATTCAGGGCTTAGGGCTGTAAAGAAATGTATATACTTCTCTAGTAACAAAAACCAGCATCAGTGGGAACACCTTCCCTCAGTAACGCTTGCTCTATTTTAAATTTATTGCTTATTTGTCCTACATGTGGAACTTTTTTTTAAAGCTGTGCTGTATGTTGGGGAGCCCCCAAGCAGTGTCACTCCATCCTGCAAACCCTCCGTTAGCTCTGCTTATGGATCTCTTAAAACAGCTCCTTTTGGAGCCGAGAGGAACTTTGTCACTTACCTTGTCTCCTGCGTGCTGAATCCGTCATGTCGAGGTTCATGGAGCATTTGCCTTGGGCTGTCATCTTGTACAGGAGGAAGGGATCGGAGGGAGGCGAGTCATTCATTAACTCGATAAGAAGATTTCATATGATTTGTGTTTTCCTTTGGAATGTGCATTTGTGACTCGTTAATCTGAATGGAGACTCTGTGCTGAGGGGAAGATAAAGCCTCTAGAATCTCTCACGCAATAAGATAATGTTCATTCTTGCTGTAGGACAGAAATTAATTTTGCACAACTCCCTGCATAGTTTACTAATACATTAACGTGTCACACACCCCCCAATTGTAATGCATTCGTTTGAAGACAATTAAATACATAATACAAGAGCTATTGAATGATCGTTGTGTTCTTGATGGCAATAAGGGCAAATCTGCGAAGTGTAGCTTTTGTTCTAATGAGAGGTATGGGTTGAAAAGCTGGTATTTGTCTCGATTTTAAATGACTGGAAAGTAAGCATTCCACCATGACTTCATAGTCTGGTTTACATGGAACTTTATCCCTACCGTCCAAAAAAAATGTGTCAGAAATATATAAGTAGAAATCTATCAGTCTCAATAATGTCTCAGCTTCAGTAAGAATTGTTTTACAAGGAGCCAAAAAGTAAATGTCCCTTAAATCCCTGGTAGTACCTGTGAACATGAAAATTCTAAGTTGGACAGGTAAGTTAAACTGAACGTTTGGATTTTTTTTCCCTAAAGCCTAATGATTTCTAGGGCTATTTAAGCATCTTGTCTGTATGGATATAATGGCTATGACACCCAAACACCTGTATAGGATGAGAGCACAAACCAGGAGCGCTCACAGTGGGAGCTAAGTTCTGGGGGAAGGGACTATAAAGAGCTTCATTTGTAGACAAGCTGTTCCCAGGTTTTCTTTAGGGTTCTTGCACCTTCTGATGCATGTGGTGTTGGCTATTATTAAATATTTAACTTGGAGTTGCTAGTGTGAGTTCCCGTGTTCTCCAGTAAGATAAAAGTTGCCTACTGTCCTGTATCAAGACTCCCTGGGTTTTCTGAACATAACCTTCCAGGAAGGTGCTGATCTGTCAGGAACTGGAGTCATTATCCCAGTCAGCTGTTATCTAGGTAGATGCTTAATGGTTTTCTGAAGGAAAACAGCATATTTCCCCAATTCCAGAATTTTGCTGGGGTGTTTGCGTTCACTTGGAAGAAACTTGCTCTTAAGCGTGCACTACTTGCAGCCTTCCCCGGCGTAATCCTAAGCTTGCTGAGATGTCAAAGTACAGCCATAATTAGGATGCACTAGCTAATTTCTCAAGGCAACATGGAGGTTATATCTGCACTTGGCTACTGCTGACTGCACAAGTGAAACGCGACAGCGCAATGAGCTCAGAAAACAGCCCACGGGTGCAATTTATAGAGGTTTGTGTAGTGCTCATCTCTTTCCTTTTGCGCTAAGCAGCACTGCAATCAAATCTTTATTAAACTTTCAATAGATATTCTTTGACCCAAGATGGAAAATTTAAAAAATTGAGAAAACTGCAGATGAAATATGATTACTTATTTTGAGGAATAGGATGGAGTGCTTGGGATATTACCTTGTAACAGTCACTAACTACTTTGCCACCGTATTGGTTTTCCAAAATATATGTCTGGCACTATGGAATCACACTGCGGAGCCAACGCTGACTTTTAGAACAAGCAACAAATCTGCCAGGTAAAAAAAAAAAAAGAAAAAAAAAAGACTGGTCTGATAGAAACCCCAAGTGTTCTGCCGGAACTTTTTGGGAGACTCAAGTGTGCGTTTGGGAAGAAACATGAACATTTAAAGAAAAAGGACACCTGCATGACTGCCGCTGTCCTGCTTCCCAACCGTGAAGCGGCTCTAGGCCGCATTCCACGCGTGACGCCATTCCAGGCTGCAGGGTGTTACCTGTGGGCACCTTTCCATCTTTTTCCCTCTACTTCCCTCTCCTAACGGCTCTCACGTCGTCTCTCACGTTACGAGCGAGGTGATTACGCGCAGGTTCGTCAGTGACGCACACCTCTCCAGCGAGCATAAGCACAGCGGTTTATTTTATCCCAGCGCGCCCCTTGGCACCGCCACCGCACTCCCGTTGCTAGGGAGGAGCGCCTCCGCCCTACTTTGTCCTTCTCCGCTCTCCGTCCCCACCCCAACGGTCCCGCCCATTCACCTACTCCACACCCAATCGAATTCCACCCGCTGCCCGGGCCCGCCT